CGTCGAGTCTGACGCGTGACCGAGTCGACGGCCGAGAACGGCGCACGCTCGAGCGCCAGCTTCTCGTTGCCCTGCAGCGTGTCGAGATATGTCTTGAGGTTGTTGAGCGCGAGCATACTGGGGATGCTGCAGTGCGTCAGCTCTGCTGATGGCCTCCGCCGTGGAGCGGGCAAGGGCTACTCGCGCCGAATCAAAGCCGGCGGATTGGTCGAACTTGGCCACGTTTCCCGCTGCGCGCACTTTGCTGCAGAGGGTGAGGCCGAGCTTGTCAGCCAGTGCTTGGACAAGGAAGCAGCACAGCTCACGCCAGCGTCGGTTGCGAGACGTGCTTCTGCATCGCGCGATTCTCCACGTCCACTGGTGCAACAGCCAAGTGCATGTCAGCCGAGGCAGAAGCAAGCACGAGCAGTCGCTGCACGATGCACGCACACGTGCGAAGCTCTTGGCCATAGCCCGATGGATGCTCAAGGATGCGCTGCACATCGACCGGCGAAAAGGGCGTCTTGTTGTACGCCTGTCGGCCGCGTGGAGCAGCGAGTCAGCAGCACGGACAGTGTGCGGCCTCTACGTCCAACGCACGTTGATGAACAGCCCATGGCTCGCCTTGATGATCTGCACGAGCTCCGTGATATCCCACGCGTAGCCGACGCTGTCGACGAAGAGCAGCTCCTTCTCGACCTTGTCGATAGGCTCCATTGATGCAATCGTCGTGTCTCATTGGAGTGCATCAGTGCCAGCGAGCTGGCAGCGACGTCAACACGACGCACCGTTCATGTACTGCTTGATCTTGAGTGCCTCGGCCGAGATATTGTGCTTGACTGGCTTGTTCTTCGTGCCCACGACGATGTAGGCGAGATTGGCAAAGTGCTCTTGCGGCGCGACAATCATGCCGGCTCTGAGATGGCGCTGTTAGCGGTCGGGCTAGCTTAGACCGCCGCAGCATCGCACCTCGGCGGACGGATGAGCTCGGGCGAGTTGGCAATCTCCACCTGAGCGAGCGCGTCGTGAGCAGGCGTTTACCTGCGCTATTGAGCGCACGCACAACGGCGAGGATCTGCAGCGGGCCGCCCACTGTGGCGAGCGTCAGAAGTATGTCCTGCGGCCTTCTCCGCCGAGTGACGCACATGCTGCGTTCTCCCACGACTCGGCGATGGTTCTCGCGTAGCCGAGCGAGAGCGAGGAGCCATCGGCCACCTGCGGTCGAGCTTCAGCGGCGTCTTGCACGCTGTGCGAGCTATAGAAACATAGATGCCCGCGCCGTACGCCGCCCCAGTCGACACTAGATTGACGGTGAGCCTCACCGCGATGAGCCACGGAGGCGTGCGGGCTCACTCATTGCCGTGCCCGAGGCATTCTTGAGCGACGTGCGAATGATGGCGTGCCAGTTCTGCGTGCCGGAGCCATGCCACGCCATGAAGCTGCCGTACTTGGCCTTCTGCGCCTGGAACGCTGCCTGTTGTGGTAAGGGTTAGCCGCTAGTCGCAGAGGGAGAGGGCAGCAACGGCGGCACACCTCGTGGCTGCGCGTGCTCGTCGAGACTTTCAGGTGCAGCTCGCCTCCGACTGAGCCTGCGTCAGCGGCTGTTGAAAGGGCCAGCAAGCTCGACTCACTATCGTCGCCGTTGATCTGGATGCGCTCATGCTGCGCCAGCGCAACCAGATGCGCGCGATTCGAGGTGAAGATCCACCTGAGCGTCGCAAACGCCTCTGCTCCAATCTGCGCCTTGAGTTCGGTAGGCGACAGGGCCGCCATGACTTCGACCGGCGGTAGAGCCTCGATGGTCGTGCGCAGCGACTTTGCAGTCAACGGCGAGCCGTCGCGCGAAGAAGGCAGCGCGGGAAGCGTCGACGGTCGACTGACGGCGCCGACGGCTGCGGCGTGGGCGGTGGCAATGAGAAAGTCGGCAATGCGCTCGTCGCGTAGCTCGGAGAGCGAGGCGCCGAGGCCGAGATCTATGCGTGTGGCAGATGAGCGCCTGACGAGGGGGCGATGCGCCGTCAGGTCTCACCATCCAGCTGGTACTGGCACAGCGGGCTGTCGCATACCGTCGGCTTGACGCCGCCGAACTACGCAGATGCTTGGTTAGCCTACGCCGAAAGCCAACTTCCCCTCGTGCTCTCACCTTGAGCCTCTCGGCGCAGCAGAAGCAGTAGTCGCCGGCGTTGCAAAGCAGACGCAGCGTGCTCGTCGACAGCTCGTAGAGGTACTCAGGCTCTCCCCACATCTTCTTGGCGATGGCCCGTACGCCGGCGTAGAGGAGCAGACCGAGCGGCGTGGCACTCGTGTGCTCGTCCGAGTGACTGATGATGGTGCTGGAGGTTGTCGAGACGAGACGCACGATGGAAGTGGGAGGGACGGCACTGCTCGTCCAGCCGCCCTGCACGTCGAGAGAGATGAGAACGAGGTAAGCATCCTCTGCGATGTCGAGCGTAGTGCGCTGGAGAGGCGAGAGAGGGTGTAGAGGCAGCTGCACCTCGAGCACTGCGCCTTCCTTGAGCAGCAGCGTGCCGCCGCCGCCCGATGCAGTGCCCTCGTCGGCAAGGCGCGCCGCGGTGGCTTGGATGCCAATCTCGATGGCCTCGCGCTCGCGAGAAGAGAGGCCAAACGACTGCATCGGGTCCTCGATGTCGAAGTCGGCACTCTTGACCGATGAGCAGTCCGAGCCAAAGTCGAAGCTGTTGTCGTTGTCTTCGTCGGCGACGCTCTGCTGTGACTGCTTGGCCTGCTTGGCTTGACTGGCACTGCGCTGCGAGTGCGGCTGTCCAGCATCGCCGGTGCCAGGCTGCGATGCCTTGCTCGCGCCGGCGCTGGGCTGCGAGGACTTGCTGGGCGCAGCGCTGTGCTGCGAGCGTGGCTGCGAGCCTTCAGCATCGCCCTTGCTGAGAGGTGAGCCCTTCATTCCGCCTACGCTGCCCTGTGACTGCTCGTGCTCATGCGCCGTCGCCGCCGCAGCTGGCGGGCTCTGTTCGACCGAAGTCTCGGCGCGAGTCGAAGGTCCCGCAGTCGACGAGCCCTCGCCTTCGGGCTCCGGCGACTCGGACACCGAGATGTAGGTCTGCTTCAGGCGGATCAGAAGCTGTACTGCTCAGCGAGGCGAGTGTGCCGGCCACAGCGATGCCGGTGCTGCTGATGGCGGCGGAGAGCTCAAGGTCGAGCTGCGCCTGTCTGCGCAGCCGCGCCCCGCCGATGCCTTGCAGCAGTAGTGGCCATCGCGGCAGCACAGACTGTGGGAGGAACTCACCTGTACCTTCTGCTTCTCCACCGCCTTGGCAGGGGCAGCAGCCGAGCCGCGCTTGGAGCGCTTGGGCGCCGGCTGTGCCGCCGGCTGCTCAGCGGCACTCCGGCTGCGCGAGCTGCGCGTCGTGGGCGGCATGGCGGAGGAAGCCAAGCGAGATCGAGACGCAGTCGGGCGCAGGTGGAAGCGGCGCGGAAGAGCGAGTGGCCGCGAGGTGATGAGGGAGACGAAGCTGGGTCTGAGGTGTCGGCCGCTGCTCATCAGCCTTCCTCTGCGAAGCGCGGCGCGGCGGCGCGGCGCCAGGCCCATAGCACCTCGGCGGCGTCACGCCCATCCACCCTTCGCTTCACCTTCGAGGCTTACGACACGCCGCGAGAGCGACGCTCTGCTGGCGGAAGCGCATTCTCTGCCTACTGGCGCTGCTAGCGAAGCACGGCGGCAGAAGCACAAGCATGAAGCAGCGGCGGGACGCGGCTCGCTGCTCGACCTTCCTCTTTCGCCCTCTCGCCTGCCGCTGCTTCTGGTTGCTCAGGGGCCAGCGCCGCAGGTGCACGTGCTCGTGCTCGTGCATCTCGCGCGCCGCGCGCAGGCGCGGCCCGCTGCGCGCTGCTGCTTCAAGCGGAGCTGCCTCGCAGGCCCTGTGGCATAGCCGCACGCCGACATGCAGCGAATGTCGAGGCCGGTGCTGCTGTGCTCCACCTTCGGATGGACGACGTGTGCCGGAGCTCACGTGCTCCACCTCTCGCTGTCAACAAGCGTGGGAGCAGTGCGATCTCACGCGCGCGCAGTTGACGGGCGCGCGGCGTGGCTGTGCCACCCCGGCGCGCCGAGTGACGCAAGCCCACGCTGACGGGCCCGCCGCGCGAGAGGGGGGGGCCTCGAGGAGGACCCTCGAAAGCGAGGCCGCCGCGTAAGATCGGCGCTGCACCGCCGCCGAAGCCGCTCATCAAGGCTTGACAAGCGCGAAGAGGCAGGAGAGATCAGGCACCGCTCGGGCACAGCGACATCGTCTTGCCCAAGCGCCGTCTCGCCGATGCCGAGCGCCGCGCCGCGTGCCGCACCCGCCTCCGTTGGCCGCCCGCACCCCGACGGCCGAAGGCGGCGCGTCATGATGTCGACGCGGCCCAACCGCCGGCGCCGGAGCGGCGGCTCAGGCGCTGCGGGGTGCAGCACGCAGCTCGCTCGCGGCGTCTTCGCTCACGCTCAGCGTCCGGAGCCGCAACCGCAGCCGGGGCGGCGCGGAAGCGATGCGAGCTGCGCGCTGCCGATGCGGACGCAGCGATGGAGAGCGGCTCGATGTCGAGATCTCACACGCGACACGGCACGACGGGCTCGAGCGGCGACACGCGATGCTGCGCTTTCTGCTTGGATACGCGAGCCTCATGCTTCTTGCTGAGGGCGCGAGCGACGCCTCTCGCTGCAGCTCGTGGGCAGCATTCAGCCCCGGCACAGCCTGCAGCTGCAGCGCAGCGCTGGCATCTTGCCGTGGAAGCCACCTCGTGCAGCGAAGCGAGGAGCGACGGGCCGACGGCGTTCGCAGCCCTCGCTCGCGGCGCATGGCCAGCGCAAGGCTTCGGCAAACTTTTGTAGTCGCATCGGCCAAACCCGAAGTCGAAGCAACACTCCAGACTTCGGCGTCTTTCCCTTGTGCGGTGCTCGCACGACGGCGCGCGGCGGCGCGCCGAGAGTAGAGTCGAGTGCTCAGCCGCCGAGCGGCCCGAGGGAGCAAAGTGGAGGGCATGAATTCCGGCGGCGGAGAGCACACTGTTCGCATGCCCGGCGCCGTGCGCGCCTCGGAGTTGCGCCTCATGGCGGAGGCGCCCCTTTCGGCGCAGAGACCGCGCTCTGCTGCCGTCGCAGCGCAAGCGCCAGCCCGCGCGCGCCGCGCGCGTTCGCCCTTTGTGCGCGTGGCAGAGGCCCGTCGAGAGCGGAGGCCGCGCGGCGCAGCGCAGCAGGCACGCCGCGAGCGCGTGACCCGACCCCCGGCCACGCACCGCGCATGCCAAATCTCGACTCTCTCGCCCTGACAGCTCTTCCCATCACCTCTCACCCTCGCTCTACCTCACATCCAGCTCCACATCCCACACCTACTCTCCGCTGCACCGCAGCCGCCTCTGCGCTCGCAGACCTCCTCGCGCCCGCACGTCGGCGCGCCTCTCGTCGCTTCCTGCCTCGCCGCGCTCCTTTCTTCGCGCCGCCCGCGCCCCACAGCCCGGCGTCTGTGCCGCCTCTTCACCCGCCTGGCGCACCTCTCTCCACCTCTGCGCATCCTCACTGCTGCACCTCCACGCATCCTCTCGCTGCCTCGTCGGCCGCGCTGCCTCTGGGGCCAGCGCCGCTTTCCCGTCCGGCTGAGCAGCCATGTCGTCCTGCAAGAAGGAGGGCACCTCCGAGGCGGTCAACCGGCTGTGCAATGCGCTGGTGCGTGCTGCACGGTCCTGCACACGTGTCGCGCACCTACTCACGTCATGCCGCAGAACGAGAGCTCCAAGATCGATGGGCAGCGAGTCGCCATCGCCGCCGGCGCCTTCCTCGTCCTGACGGCCGTGACGCTCATCACGTTTGAGGTCATCCGCGGCAACAACAAGGTGCGTGTGCCGCACGTGTCGCCTGCAGACCAGGCACTCACCCCGCCCGCAGATGGTCTACGAGCCGAAGCGCAAGTACGCAGAGGCCGGCGTTGCGGCGCCGCGCCAGGTGCGCTACACGCCCGGCGGCTGGCTCACGCGGTACAAGGAGAACGAGCTGCTGCCGCTCATCGGCCTCGACGGCGTCACGTTTCTGCGCTTCCTGCGCATGATGCGCCTCATGACGACGGTGCTGGCCGTCGTGCTCTGTGCCGTCCTCATTCCCGTCGATCTCTCCTTCCACCTCGGCAGCGGCAGCGGCGGCATCCGCAGCGGCTTGCTGCTGCTCACCATCAGCGACGTCAGTGGCAACTACCTCTGGGCGCACGTGGGCATGAGCTACGTCGCAACGGCCATTGTGCTCTTCTTCAGTGAGTGGTGCGCACATCCCAACTGCTGCGGCGCCTGACTCCTCGCGCCAGTCACGATCAACTACCGCCACATGGTCCGCCTGCGCTGGGAGTGGTTCCGCTCGCCCGAGTACCAGGCGTCGTTCTTCGCACGCACCTTGATGCTCACGCACGTGCCCAAGAAGCTGCAGTCCGACGCGGCGCTGCACCAGCTGCTCAACTCGATCGGCATGCCCTACCCCACGACGGAGGTGCACATTGGCCGCGTCGTGGGCGCGCTGCCGGACCTGATTGAGAAGCACGAGGAGATGGTGCGCAAGCTCGAGCGCGTGCTGGCAAAGTACCTCAAGGACCCGCGCGGCGTTTCGGGCAAGCGGCCCACGACGACGATCGGCGGCGGCTGCTGCGGCGGCCAGACCGTCGACGCCATCGACCACTACACGGAGCAGATCCAGAAGTACGAGGCGGCCATCGAGCAGTGGCGCGACCGCATTGCCGAGAAGAAGCCCGAGTCCTTTGGCTTTGCCTCGCTCGCGGCCGTGCCGTACGCGCACGCCGCGGCGCGCTCGCTCAAGGGCAAGAAGACAAAGGGCGTCAAGATCACGCTGGCGCCGCATCCCAAGGACGTCATCTGGCGCAACCTGACGCTGACGAACGCGGCGCGGAGGCGCCTCAGCTTCGTGGGCTTCCTCTACCTCGTGCTGCTCTGCTTCATCAACGCCGTGCCGCTGCTGGCCGTGGCGCTGATCTCGCAGATGGGCAGCTTCACCGACGTGCTCGGCTTCCTCGGCGCCTGGCGCGCCGCCTCGAGCTGGTCCTTTTCCGCCGTCGCGGGTCTGGCCGCGCCGATCATCTCGGGCCTCATGGGCTACCTGCTGCCGATCTTCATGCGCCGCATCGCCAAGTACCGCGGCGTCACGACGCGCTCGAAGCTGGATCGGGTGATTGTCAGCCAGGTGAGTGTCGCGCGTGTCCTCCGCGTCCGCTCGGCAGCAGCTCACGCCCTCGGCAGTACTTCACCTTCCTCATCATTTCGCAGTTCGTCATCTTCACGCTCGTCGGCGTCGCCATCACGGTGATTGCACAGATCATCAGTGCCGTGCAGGAGCGGCAGACGTTCCAGCAGATTCTCGACTTCATCTCCGCCGACGTCGGGCCCAACATTCTCGCGCAGTACGTCGGCTTCTCCAACTACTGGATGACGTGGCTGCCGCTGCGCCTCTGGGTCAGCATGTTCGACCTGGCACAGGGCGTGCGCCTGCTCATGGTGTGGGCGCAAAAGAATTTCCTCGGGCGCACGCCGCGCGACGTGCGCGACTTCAGCAAGCCGCCCGTGGCCGAGTACGCCATTCTCTACACAAACCTGCTCTTCGTGTTTGCCGTAGCGATGCTGTACGCGTGCCTGGCGCCGCTCATCGTGGCCTTTGCGGCCGTCGTCTTCTGGAGCGCGTCGTTCATCTTCAAGTACCAGATGTGCTACGTCTACCAGACCAAGGTCGAGAGCGGCGGCCGCCTCTGGCGCGTCGTCGTCAACCGCCTGCTGGCGTGCATCGTCTTCATGCAGCTCATCCTCGCACTGGCACTCGTGCTCAACGCCTACGGCACGAACCGCATCCAGGCCATCGCGGCGCTGCCGCCGATCGTGGCGGTGATTGGCTTCAAGATCTACTGCGTCAAGACGTTTGACGCGCGCTTCGACTGGTACATTCCCGAGGCGCAGGAGCTCGCCAACACCAAGGCGCACGGCGGCGACCAGCGCCACAACCGCCTGCAGCGCCGCTTCGGCCATCCGGCGCTGCACCAGACGCTGGCGACGCCCATGGTGCACGCGCGCGTCAAGCATCTGCTGCCCGAGGTGTACCGCGGACGTCTGGACCACAGCGAGATGGCTCGCGTCGACGGCCGCAAGGTCGAGGTCGAGGCCCTCACGGGCGGCCTCAAGATCGCCGCCATCGAGGAGGACCAGCTGGAGTACGACCCGCACAACGACTCCGACGTGCGCTCCATCATGTCTGGCACGACGATGATGACGGGCGCCGGGCCGGGCTGGGGCACTCCGGGGCCCGGCACGCCGCTCTACGGGCCCTCGCGTGCCGGCACGACGCACGACTTCCGCGACCAGTACAGCAACTACCTCGCCTCGACTGGCGCGCCGGAGCTGCCGCCCGGCTCGCACGGCGGCGAGCACTTTGAGATGAGCAACGTGCGTGCGCACGACAGTCGCGAAAACCTCCTCGAAAAGGGCCAGAGCGTGTATAGCGACAATACGCTCATGGGCAGCGGGCACGCCAAGCAGCCCTCGCAGGGCAGCTACCCGTACTACGCGCCTACGCCGCTCGACACGCCCGGCATCAATGGCCCGCAGCAGTACGAGCAAGGACACGCAGCGCATGGATCCGCCGGCTCGGCGGGCTACTTTTCGCCTGCCCCGCGCTCGGCCACGACGCCGACGCCGCGCCAGCCGAGCGGCAACTCGCTGCAGCAGCAGCAATACTACGCCCACGGCCCGCAAGGTCCGAGTGGCGCAGGCTACGCCACGCATGCACCTCCGCCGATGCAGCCGTACACTGCCTCGCCGCAGTCGTCGCCGCAGATGAGGCCGCAGCAGCCTCACTTCTACGGCCACGCCAGCGGCCCGCAAGCTTCGCCGGCGGCGGCCAGCCCGCATGCTGCGGCGCAGATGTACGGCGCTGCGCCTCCGCCGCCGCCGCCGCAGCAGCAGCAACGCGGACCGCCGCAGTGGGACGGGAGACACGACGGATCGCATGGATATGGAGGCGGATACTGAACGCTTGAATGGCGCTTGAAGCGCCAGGCGCGCTTCGAGGTGCACTCTTCCCCGGCTCTGTAGACTCCCCTCGCTCGATGCTCGCCTCATCATGTCATGCCATTTGCTACTCGAAGTCATCGAGCGTGACTGCACGACCTGTAGCATGCGGGATTGGCCTGGACTCATCAGAGGTTCCAGTCATGGCGGCGTCTACGATCTTGCTGAGCCTGCGTGTCGCGGTGCCAGCTGAGAGCGTGTGTTTGGCCCCCCCTCAAGCCGCATGCAGCTGCTCCTGCCTCACGCTCCAGCTGAGCAGGTGGTTGCGTCTGCTCCAGGCCAGCATTGAGCTGCCTTCACGACGCATTGCGCAGCGGACACTTTGCACGCCCGCCCTAAACGCACACAGCGGCATCAATGAAGTGGCATTGTAAGGGGCTCGTGCTCATCTCGTCATCTCGTCCATAAGGTCGTGGCTCTCCAGCCTTTCTTCCTCCGCCTCTTTTGCTCGCTCGCCCTCGCCTCACTCCTCAGCGATGCGATACGGCCACGTTTCCCCGTCCAACCCCCTCCGCCTCCGCCGCCGGCTCATCTCCCTGCGCTCTTCCGCCTCCCTGAATCCTCGGCGTCATCGTCGTCGGTGGTGTCTTGATGTCATTCACCTTGCGCCTGCCCCTGCGCCTGCGGCTGCGGCGGTGCATGCGGCTGCGCGACTCTCGCGCCCGCCGTCGGCGTCGGCGTCGGCGTCGGCGTCGAGAAAGAAGAGGCGCCAGGCATGCCAAAGACGGAGCGTCGTTTGCGATCCAACTCTTCGCTTCTACTCCTCGAGCTCTGCGTCTGCGTCTGCGTCTGCGTCTGCGTCTGCGTGCTTGCCGAGTCTTGGGCGTGGTGCTGCTGCGCCATGAGAGTCTGCTGCAACGAAGGTCCTTCTGGCGTGGCAGTGCCAAAGACGGCGCCTCCGCCTGCCGTCGCCGTGGCAGCGCCGGAGGAAGAAGAGGCCACAGCAGCGCGAGGATGAGGCAGTACCTCTCCGAGCTTGACGTGCGCCTGAAACTCAAACGTCTTGCCGCCCCTCTCCCGCCATGCTGCGGCGGCATCTTCGTGCCCTCCTCCTCCTCCTCCTCCTCCTCCTCCTCCTCCTCCTCCTCCTCCTCCTCCGGCGCCTCCAGATCCGACATGGGCAGCAGCAGAGGAGCGAGGCTCGTCGGCCTCCAGATCGTCGCTTGACTTGTAGCTGATCGACACTTGCATCGCGAACTGGCGGCCAGCGAGAGATTCTCATCAGCATGAGTTCGAGGGCTAGGCGAAAAAAGAGGGGGGGGGGGGGGGAAACACAGCTCGTTACCCCAGAACTCACCTCGACGTCTCCCGCGAACTCCCTTCCTATCTTGCACTCCAAGCTCACAGTCGTACTATTCGCCTTTCTCCTCACTTTTGCCTTCTTCTCCTCATTCTCCACCTCGACATCATCCTCTGCCTCTGTGTTCGTCGTCGTCGCAAAGAGCGCCTCGTCGCCTTCCTGCAAGATGCCCATGTCGTCCTTGGGCCCAATCATGAAGCTTGCTGCCGAGAGGGAGAGCTCGTACGGCGCCGATGCTGCGAGATAGGACTTGCGTGGCGACGACGAGGTCAGACGAGGTGGAGACGAGGTAGTTGAGGCACCTCGAGGAGGAGAGGCAGGCGCGCCCGAAGCCGGCGTCGCGCGAGGAGCTGCAGTCGAAGACTCTTCGCCGCGAGTGGTGGAAGAGGAGGACGAGCTTGAGGGAGAAAGCAAAAGGGTGACTTTGACGCTCATGGCGTCGCCTAAAGGATTCGTAAACGTCACGTCGTAGACGTATCTGCGCGCAGGCAGGAGAAGGTCTTCCTCCGTCGCGCCCTGAGCGCCCGACGACGGCGGCGGAGCGAGAAAGCCGGACGCGCCAGAGCCAGTAGCCAGCCGGCTGCGTCTCGTTGATGCCGCCCCTGCACTGGCGCCTCCTCCTCCCACTGCCGCAGCGCCGCCGGCAAGCGCGAGAAAGATGTCGGGCAGCGTAGAGGCGGCCATGTGGCGCAGCTTGAAGCGCCGAGAGGAAGTCTTGGCTTCGGGCCGCAGCAGCATGTTGGAGCATTGAGGACAGCGATGAGTGAGCTTTGCGCGCAGAGGTACAGGGCGCGGTTGGAGGCTGGGCCGCGAGAGAAAGAGAGGAGAAGGAGGGGGGGGGGGGGGGGGGGGGGGGGGGGAAAAAGAGGGGGGGGGGGGGGGGGGGGGGGGGGGCGTTAGTGATGAGATTTTTCTTTGTGGGGGAAGAGAGCGGGGTGGCGAAGGAGGCAGCGCGCGCTCGCAAGCTCGGAACGTGCGATGGCTTTGCTCTATCCGCGCCGCTTCCCTTGCTCGAGCGTAGACGGCTGTCCAGACTAGTTCTCAGACTGGCGCGCCTAAAGAGACTCACTTTTCATTCTCCTTGCCCTCCATTCTCCTCTGCATCTCTCCCCCTTCGCCCCTGTTTCCCCTCCATTCAAACTCGGCGCCCTCTTCCTTTCTCCTCTGCCGCGCGCCACTGGCGACTTTGGCCAGCACGTCGCTGCGGCGAAAGTCGCGATGGTGCTGCAGGCCGGGCACGTCTGCGAGCAGGCGCGACGAGGCCAGCGCCGCGGCGGCACGCGCCTTGGCGTGCGAGGGACGCGTGGAGGAGGAGGCCGAGGAGGCCGAGGAGGCAAGACGAGGAGGCAGCAGCTCGGAGGCATAGTGAGTGAGCAAGGCGGAGAAGTAGCTCGAGGAGGCGCTCGCTTGACGAGCTTGAGCTATAACCCCCCATCGTTCCGTCGTTGAGAGAGACGCAGAAACCAATCAGCCTCTGTGCATCGCCTCGCTCGAGAAGGGGGGCAAGGAAAGAGAGACGCACCTACCACGCCGGCACTTCGCTCATACACGCCTTGCACCTTGCCTCCGCTGCGCCTGTCGCTGCGCCTCGACTGCCACTTGCACGCTTCGCACTTGAGCAGGTACGGCGGCGCGCCGCGCGAGGCCTCGACGCTCAGCAGATCTGCCGCGCCTGCGCCCGGCGCGAGGTCCGACGGCGCCACGGTGAGCGGCGCGCTTGCGCACACGGGGCACGCCAGGCAGGAGCGCGAGCAGGCGCCATTGCTCTCTGCTGCTGCTGCGCCTGCCGTGCTGGAGGAGGAGGAGGCGGCCGCGGCACTGGAGCTGGCGTACGCCTCGCCGCCGCCGCCGCCGCGCTCGCGCACGACGGCGGAAGAGGGAAAGTCGAAGAGACAGGCGGGACAGTAGTAGGCGGGCGCCGAGGGCGTGAGACAGAGGACACAGCGCAGCGCCGCGCAGTCGTCGCAGAAGTAGAGATGCGCGGGCGCGTGGAGCGAGAGGGTGGCAAAGGCAGGCAGCGCAGAGGAGTGCGGACAGTGGATGCGCAGCGTGGGCATGGTGCGGAGGAAGGAGCCGCGCGCTGCCCCGCGATGCTGAGACGCGCAGACGGCGTGAGGAGGAGCGGGCGGGGTGGGGGTGAAGGAGAGAAGGCGCAGGAGAGAAGGGGTGAAGGAGATCAGGCGCACTCGACTGCATGGCGCCCCGTGCGCATGGCGCCGTGGTGCGGCTGACGTAAGCCTCCGCCTCACTCACGCGCCTCCAGCCGGCTGCGAGGCGGGCGAAGGCGGGCTCAGCCTCAGCGCAGCGCAGCGCAGCGTGCGCCCGCCGCGCGCGCCCCCCGCCTCCTTCGCCTCCACATCCTCGCCCGCGCCTCCTCCTCCCCTCGCCTCCTCCTCGCCCGCGCCTTGCTCACGCAGCGCGCTCCCTCCTCCGCGCCTGCTGCTCCTCACACGGGCCAGCGCATCATGGCACCCGCGCCCTCCGTCCGCGGCGCCGGCCCCGGCAGCGGCGGCGGCGCCTCGACGGGCGCCCGCCTCACCTCCTATGCCCTCGACCATCTCCTCGCCGCCGCCCTCGGCGCCGTCGCCACGGCGCCGCCGCGCCTGCCCGTCGCAAAGAACAAGGAACCGCTGGCGCTCGGCACCGTCGCCGTCAACATGCGCGTGAGTGGCGCATGCCTCAAGGGGAAGCAAAGCGGCGGATCAGAGAGAGGGCACAGCCGAGCTGCAGCAGCAGAGAGAGCCTGCAGCACCCGTCTTCTCTCTCTCTCTCCCATTCTACTCGCTTGGCGCAGCAGAGAGAGCCTGGAGCGCCCGTTTCCTCTCTCTCTCTCCCATTCTACCCGCTTGCCTGGCTGTGGCAGTTCAGGCCTCCCATCTGCCCTCGGCACGCTCTCGCCCCTTGGCCTGGCGCGTCTCTGTGCCATGCATCAGCCGGCAGTTTCCGCTCACTCTGTCTTTGCTCTCTCTCTTTCTCTCTCGCAACAACAACAACAGGCATTCACGCAAAAGTCCGGCCCCATCTTCTACTTTCAAGATGCCGTCGAGGTCACACTCGTGTGGGACGACTGGGCATGGACGGCCATGTGGATGCTGATTGCCGGCATTGTCGGTGCGTGTTACGGGGTTTCATCGTCTTTACTCTCCCTCTCTCTCCATCGCCCGCCCCCATGCGGGGCCTACGCTGGTCCACGCTGCACTGCGCCGCCCTGCAAGCTTCGCGCATTCGCATGCCTGACGCTTACGCCTCCCCCCCCCCCCTTTTCCGCAGCTCTTCATCCACATCTCCTCCTCTGTGCTCCACCCGCCATTCTCTCCATCATTCTCATCAAGACGTACGCCACGCGTTTTCCCGCCGGCGTTCCCGTGCCTCCCTCTTCCGCCTCCTCTGCCGCCTCTGCCGCCTCCACGCTCCTCGTCTCGCCCACGCCCGCACAGGCCGTGGCGCATTCCACCTCGCAGCCCACGCACACCGGACATGGCGTCGTGCGCCCGCCGGTGATTCCCAACCCGCCACATGAAGGTGAAGTGCGCTACTATGAGAATCTGAGAGACATACAGAACATGTACGTGCCCCCCGTTGCGCTCGTTTTTTTTTGGCCTCACACTGCGCGCGACTGCCGCTGCCCTCAACACCCGCACTGCTGATGCCGCCCCCTTTCCCGAACAGGATGAAGATGGTGACGGACGGCTACGACCTCCTCGCTCCCAGCGTCGCCTATCTCAACTGGTCTTCCTATCCCCGCTCCTTGCTCCTCCTGCAGCTCTCTCTCCTCAGCACCGTTCTCCTCTTCATCTTCTCTCCCTATCTCCCTCTTCGTCTGCTCTTCCTCGTCGCCGTCGAGTCGCTCTTCCTCGCCAATCACCCCTGGATCGCGCCGCTCTTCTCCGGCATCAAGGCGGCGGTGCAGCGCGAGAAGGAGGAGAGACCGCAGCAGATGCCGGCGCGATGGATGGAGAGCATGGAGGAGAGATCGAGGGAGATCAAGGCCAAGCTGGAAGTGTGGATGCAGGAAGATAGGCTGGACGATGCGGTGTGGACTCGCGGTTGGAGAGAGGTGGAGATGTTTGAGTGAGTTTGCTACGACTTGCGGAGAGAGCAGGGCACGCCTTGCGAGCGTGAAGCGCAACATCGAGCAACACACACAACAGCGCAGAGCATACACTGACAGCTTGCGTACCCATTGATCTCCCCCTCCCCCC